TTGTATAAAAAATTATAAAAATAAACTTTATTTTCAACAACAATATCACATGAAATGATTTAATTAGATGATTAATAAAATTAATATTAACTTCTATATTTTATACAAATTAATAATAAAAAAATACAATAAAAACAAACTAGTTGTTTATCCAAAATTTCCTTATATTTTTACCTTTTTTTTTCCCTTTTCATCCTTGCCTCTTTATTATTCTATCTTAACTATTCTTTGCATTGCTGGCCATATCATTATATATCTTCTTGTTTATCTAAAATTTTCTTTCTCGTTGTCTATTGTAAACTTTTAAATCAAAATAGAAAATATGCAACTTGGTAATATTGTTCATCGATATATTTCACATACCTTTATCTTTTATAGTTTTTCTCATGACTCCATCTCCTAGGTTCCATCAACGCAGTTTATCATTGTATAAGACATCCACATTTATTTTCCTCTCTCTACTAGTATTATTTTTTTTACTTTATTCAATTATTATTCCTTGCAACTCAATATATCATTATTGTCTCTTTTCTCACGCTAATTTTTTCTCTCTCCCTTTCTTTACATTAAAAATGCTTTCCGTCAAAATATAAAAGTTGCAGCTTGTTAACTACGTTGAAAACCCAAGGTCTTGCCCAATTTTCTATTTTAATTAAACAATAAAAAATTACACAAATAATATGAAAACGAAAAATCAAAAGCACATGGAAAAAAGAGATCAAGTTCGTGATTCATGGTAATTTCTTTAATTTAAATACGTTTACTCACCAAACCTCCTCACTTAAGAGTTTTAATTTAATAGAATTCTCTTTCTTATGGATGAAAGAATAAACCATTACAAATTCTCGTCTGTGGGTTTAGAGAGGAAAAGAGGATGGGGCCCCTATAACACAGTAAAAATATTGAGCTAGAATGGTATGCAGTATAAAACAAATGAGTGGATGGTATAGCGCCATGCTGGTACGGGCCCAACGAATATTTTGACCATGCCATACGTTAACAGCTAAGTATCAAGTATTAGGCGCTTTGGGTTAGTTAATAATTTAACGGTGATATTTATTTTTGTATTTTTTTAAGATAAATTTATCCTTATTCCCTTATTTAGGAATGGATTTAAGAGTTATGCAGCTAAGAAAATCTCTTGATTTAATTGTTATGAATAATTGATAAAGTGATGACTGTGACTATTAATTTATGATTAATAAAAAAAACTAATATTTATTAGTCATTCAATTAAAATAAATTTATAAAATAATATTTTTAAGTATTATAATTAATTAGTATTTTTAAAAAAGCCTCAAAAAAATTAATATTTATAAAAGGCGCCTGATTTTGTATGGCACAATCACCACACCTACAGAAAAATGACAAATAACTTTTTGGAAAATTACTAACAGTAAGTATTTTGTAATTCAGATAAGTGAAGTGTGGTTTACCTTCCTGTTTAAATATATTAAGGTTTTTAAAAGGAATACAGGGTATATATTCAATTTTTTTTTATCATTAATTTATATAAAAATTATAAAAATTAATTTTATTTTTAACATTAGTGTTACATGAAATGATTTTATTTTCCTCTCTATATTAGTATTATTTTTTTTACTTTTTTCAATTATTATTTTTTGCAACTCAATACATCATTTTTATCTCTTTTCTCACTCTAATTTTTTCTCTCTCCCCTTCTGTAATTGCACCAAACCAAAAGTTCCTTTTCAGTCCGCGTCTGCACTCTGGATTGACCTGCAAAGCCCCGAGATGGAACTCGGGGTAGACACTCCGATGCTTAAATCAGCAATAATCGGGACTACCTTTAGAGTAGAGATAAAAGGAGCTTAGGGTTGGTTTCAATTACCTTTTTGACGTGGCCCTTGGGGGGGTATTTATAGGAACCAGTGAGGAACCCACGTGGCATGCCAAGCAAGATAGTCGGAGCCTGACGTGTCTATCCAGACGATTATTCCGGGACCGAGAATTTGAGAGGTATTCAGATGCAAGGATGTCCACCATAACTGCTGTGCAGCTCATCATAAGGGATCAGGTGCGGGCATGCTCATTGTCACTGTCATGCAGTTATTTGAGCGGGAAGCTTTGGATTTGTCCTTCAATTCAGTCGTAAAGGAATTACTGTAGCAGTCCGAGGCTTAGCACCTCAGACCTATCCTTACACTATTCCCCCCCGAAGTCATTCACTTGTGAATGATGTTGTTGGGGATAATGTGAGGAGTGCATAAACAAAGAGAATACAGATAAGTCATACAAGTAAAAGGAAGAAGTAGGATCTGTAACTCAAACGCATACATAGCCGTAACTGATAATGAAGTATGCGATAGGGGGTCATGCTGGGTATGCTTAAAATAGAATGTGACCAGAGCGATCGTGGCCGTAGCCATGGTAAAAATAATGACCGGAATCAATGTGGTCGTAGCCATAGTAAGAGATGATGACCAGAGTCATGGTGGCCAGAGCCGTAATAAAAAGTGATTACCGGAGTCACAATGTAACTAGAGCCGTGATAAAAAATGATGACTGGAGTCATAATGGCCGGAGTCGTGATAAAATATACTGATCAGAGTCATAATGGCCGGAGCCATGATAAAATATAATGACCGGAGTCATAATGGCCGGAGCCGTGATAAAATATAATGACCGGAGTCATAATGGCCGGAGCCGGAGTAAAGCATGTGGCACTGGGTCACCATGGCAGTAGCCGAAGTGAAATATGTGAAAGTGGGTCATTGTCGCCGAGGCCGATGTGAAATATGTAATGCAGGATTGCTATGGCCGGAGCCGAAGTGAATCACTTGCAAAAATTAAGAATGTGTAAAAGTGAGCGAGGGTGTTGAAATGGGTTTAAGTGGGCCCGTCTGAGAAGTCTGACAAAGGGGTAGTGCGTGGTGTGACAGTTGTCCTTTGAATGACGTGCGCAATAAATGCAGCCGTAAAAAGATAACTGCAACAGTTAAATGGGCAGATTTAAAAACGAACCGTCGAGTTCAAAACGGTACCATTTGGGGTTGGCCGTCGAATTCCAAACGGTGTCAATAAGAACCGTAAGATTAAACGAATCTCAGCCGTTGAGATCTAATTTTGCCCAGAAGTATAAATAGGCATTTTTTCTGCAAAAGGAAGTTTACTTGCATTTTATTTTCTGCAAAACTTCTGCGAAAAGCTTTACCGTTTGCTTCCTGCGTGTGAACTGCTGCATCATTTGGGGATTTTCACATCAAGCTTTCGAAACCGAAATCAGGTAATGTACACAAACCTTTGATTTTGGTTTAGTCGAAGTGTCACTCTCCTTTCTCCCTTTCTGTGGTTGATTTAGAGTCCTTTGAAGGAAGTTAAGGTTAGAAGTGAGAATGATTTTGAATGTGCAATAGAGGGGTTTTTTTTTTTTTTTAAAAGGGTCCTGACTTCATTCCTCCCCCCTACTTCGTGCAAAGATTGAGAAAATGTCTTCAGAAGGAACAGTAAGTGTAGTAGGGAGTGAGGTGATGCCCCTGGACTATGGGAGCATGGACTCAAAGAGTAGTCCATCTCCATCTAGTTCGAAGAAAACGGTGGAGGGGGTGAGAGGTGATGAGGTGGTGGAGGTTGGGGGGAATGAGATGGTGGGGGTTGAGGGGGATAGTGTGCCTATCACCGTGGTAGAAGTAGAGGGTAAGGGAGATAGGGGGTATGAAATAGATGTAGATATAGTGGAAGAGGTGAAGCAGTATAGATCTGAACTTAGGACCAAGGATAGCCTGGGTCACTTAGTGGAGAATTACGAGATCTCTTCCCGAGTGTTAGTTAGGCCAACCGGGGTAGAGGAGAGAGCGTGTTCTGCTCCTCGGGATCATTGGATGCCTGTGTATGCCCACTATTTGATAGCTAGGCTCAGGTTTCCAATTCCTGAGTTGCTAGTAGGGTTGCTACTAGATTATGGTATAGGGCTGACACAGTTAGTCCCCAACGCTATGAGGGTAATAATAGGATTTTTAGTGTATTGCCGAGCTCAGGGGATTAGTGTGCCAACCGTAAATATGTTTAAATACTTTTTTGTTTTAAAGGGGGGTAGCAGAAAGGATAAGGGGTGGTATTATTTCACCCCTAGGGTAGCAAATAGGGAGAGCAGAGCGTTGTTTATAATGGGTCCTTCATCCATTAAAGGATAGAAGGAAAAATTCTTTTTTGTAGATGACACGGAGTGGGAAAGGGGGGATGCCGAGGTGAGGGAGTTAGCATCCTGGAAGGCTAAAAGAGCCAACTAGAATAAGTTTAGCTTAAACGAAGATGAGGAGGAGGAAGTGGGGAAGTTGGTGAGGAAAGGGGGGGATTTACTGAACATCATGGACCTCACCAGCGCACAATGCATAGAAGTTGCTGAGCTCTATGGGCCAAGCGCTTTAAGTGAAGGTTTGTTTAATTTGCATTGTAGTACTGAATGTAGAAGATAGAGCTGTGACTGATATTGTGTTTTCTTGCTTTGCAGCTGAAATGGATCAGTTTTTGAACACTGCTGGAGGAGTGGTCATCCCCAAGAAACCAAGGAAGAAGTCAAAGACTTCAACCAAGCAAGTAGATGAGGGGAGAGCTGGGAAGGAGGTAGTGCCCACCGCTTCAGCTGAGACGGAGGAGGAGGTGCCACAGTTGAAGAGGAAGGGTTGGGAGGAGAGGAGGGCACTATAGAAGAAGAAGAAGGTGGTGGAGGAGGAGAGGGGGAGCGAGATTCCCCAATTCGTACCTCAGCCTCCTCCTGTTGAGCTGGACCTTGAGCTCAGATAGTTGGAGGAGGGAGCTGAAGTACGAGCTCCCGGTAAGGGAAAGGGCCCTGTTCCCCCAATGGCGTTTCAGAGCAGCCTGTTCAAAGCGAAAAACATGACGGGGGCCAGGTGGTTCATCAACACCACCTTCCCTGAAGTGGACAAACGCAACGCGCGGGATGAGGCTCTGAGGTATTGTGGGGCTTCAGTGGTGAAGCACGTTCTAGAGGTAAGTTAAATTATTGATGTTGTTTATTTAATCTCTTTCTTCTTCTCTTCTTTTTCTCTTAACTTCTGCTTTGGTTTGCAGAGCGCGAGCTGGGTGAATGGTCTAGCCCAAGAGTTCATGGATAGCGTGAAGGAGCGCTCCCTCTTGCAGAGGCAGTGTGACCAGCTGCAGAAAGAAAAGGAGGAGCTGGAGAAGAAAAATAAAGAGCTGCAAGAGGAACTGAACGAGGTGGTTCCGACTGTGAAACAACTGGAGCAGGAGAGGGCTTCCCTGAGCACCAAGCTCGTCTTTGAGGAGAGCAAATGAAGGATCTCCAAAAGCAAGCGTGAGGCTCAGGCGAAAGAAATAGCGCTGATGAAGGATGCGTTCGTGGAGCTGAAGGAGAATGTGCAGATGTTGGTGCACAATGGGATGAAGGAGCACATCAGCAACTTCATCAGCTCCAGTTCGTTTGACAACATCGTCAACTTGTACCGGCTGCCCACTGCCATCATTGCCTTCACGGACTGCAGAAAGAAGGTGAAGGCTGAATATCCCGAAGTGGATATTACAAAGATCACCTTCGGCGAGCAAGAAAAAGGAGTGGAGGAGGATGGTGAGAGCATGTCAGCAAACTTCCGTCCTCAACTCAAACTGAGGTGGGAGCATGATGCAGACGGACGTGCTGTTTTCCCTCCACAGTTCGACTTCGAGTTCGTTGCAGTGGAGGAAGAAGGGGCAGAGGTAGAGGAAGACGAAGTGGAGGCAGGAGTGGAAGGAGCTGAAGTGGATGAAAGCCAACCAGTTCCAAAAGTGGAGATTCATCCAGTTCCTTCCAACGATGAGCAGCCTCCTCTGCCAGACGAGCAGCAGCCAACACAGCCACCTCTTCCAGCTGAGCAGGAGCCAGTGGAGCCACCTCTCCCAGCAGAGAAATAATTTTGTTTTTTAATTTTTGTAAAAATTTTTAAACAGTTTGTAATACCGTCGTTACTTTAAATGAAAATTCAGTTTTGAAATCATACGTTTGTGTGTGTTTGCTTTATATTTTTGTTATTTTTTATTAGTAAAAGAACTGAGGTTATTTGAGACGTGATTTGAAAGAAAGTTAACCACTTCAGACGAATTAAGAAAAGTAAATCACTTCAGATAAATTAAGAACAAGTACATCACTGCAAATGAACTAAGAGGAAATAAAGCACTTCATATGTGAAGTGACATTTATTAATTAGAAGTGAGGTTCAAGGAATGAATGGACTGATTGACCTCGGATACATAGAATAAGAGGTAAAATGAATCTCAACAATCATGAAGTAAGAACTGTAAGACATAGATCTCTTGAAAGAATTTTATTAGGGGTAAAATTTCTTCAAGTTGTTGACATTCCAGACCCTAGGAACTCTCTTTCCTTCAGCGTCTTGGAGGACATAGGCACCAGGATGTGGCACCTCGGCCACGGTATAAGGGCCTTCCCAATTCGGGGCGAGTTTGCTAAAACGAGTTTCAAACCCTGTTAGACCAGCTTTTCTGAGAACAAGGTCTCCTACTTTGAATGTTCGAGGGCGGACTCGTTTATTGTAGAAGTTGGCTAGTTTCTGCTTGTATACAAGAGTCTGAAGCCGTGCTTCTTCTCTGACTTCGGCAAGCAGATCAAGGTTTTCCCGAAGCAGTTGTCCATTTCGTCCTTCATCGAAATGGGTGACCCGGAAGCTTGGGACTCCTATTTCAATAGGAATGACTGCTTCGGTACCAAAGGCGAGATGATAGGGTGTTTCACCTATTTCAGTTAATTATAACTTTAGAATGCGCTTTAAGCATTATGCATATTTGTTCTAAGGTAAAGCCGTAACAGAAGAAGTAAAATAATATAGAAATTAATCAAATAGACCAGGTTTAAAGTAATACATGTGGCAGTTCGGCTCGTGGTTCTGTATGCCCAGAGGACATTATTAAGCTCGTCTGCCCATTTGGCCTTATGTTGTTCCAATCTCGGCTTTATACCTTCTAAAATGCATTTGTTAACAGATTCAACCATGCCATTGGACTCCGGATGGTAAACGGAGGTGAACTGCAATTTGATCCCGTAACTGGAACAGAAATCTCGGAATGAGGAGCAATTGAACTGAGTCCCATTATCAGCCACAATCTGATTTGGGATCCCATATCTGCAGATGATCGAGCTGAAAACAAAGTCTTCGACCTTCTTGGAGGTAAGACTAAATAATGGCCGAGCTTTAACCCACTTTGTGAAATAATCCACACCAACAACCAAATGGGTTACACCACCAACCCCTTTCACAAATGGGCCTAAAAGATCCAGTCCCCACTGAGCAAATGGCCACGGTGCTACCAAGTTCGTGAGCTCTTCTGCTGGTTGGTGAGTCAGATGTGCGAAGAATTGACATTTCGGGCATTTCTGAACAAAGTGAGTGGCATCTTTGTACATGTTTGGCCAGTAATATCCCTGCCTTAAGACTTTGTGAGCCAAAGTTCTAGCACCAACGTGGCTTCTGCAGACACCTTCATGTACCTCCCGAAGTGCATACTCAGCTTCGTAGGGGTTTAAAAACCGTAAAAGAGGGAGTGAGAAAGATCTCTTATAGAGGACCCCATCAATGAGTGTATACTGAGATGCTTTCTTCCTCAACTTCATTGCTTCCTGCCTGTCCTCAGGTACTATCCCTTCTCGCAGAAAGGAGATAATTGAATCAGTCCAACTCGGCGTGTTAGGGTCTGTGCTAACCTCCATCATCCGTGGCTTCATAAAGCTTGGTTCATCTAGGACCTCCACAAAAACTGATCTGGAACTTAAAGAGCTATCAGAGGCAAACTTGGAGAGTGAATCTGTCTGTTCATTCTCAGCTCGGGGAATTTTGCTCAGACAGAACTTCTGGAATTTGCATTTCAGCTTGGCCACCAGGGCTACATATTTCACCATCACAGGATCAACGACCTCGCAGATTGAGTTTATTTGGTTCACCACCAGCTGGGAATCACTGTATACTTGAATCGCACTAATTTTCAACTCCAATGCTAGCTGTAGACCAAGTAGCAGAGCTTCATATTCAGCCATGTTGTTTGTTGCATCGAAGTTGAATTTTAGGGCATGTTCGCTTCGGTATCCCTCTGGACCAATCAAGAGAGCGCCAGCTCCTGAACCCTTGCTACTAGATGCCCCGTCAACATATAAGGTCCAGTCGTTGGGCTCTGGATTAGGGGTTGAAGGACATGGGGTACATTCGATAATAAAATTTGCTAGTGCTTGAGCTCGGATTGTCGATCTCTGCTGAAATGTTATCTCAAACTCCCCCAGTTCTACCGCCCATTTAATTAATCTTCCAGAGCACTCTGGTTTCTACAGAATCTGTCGGAGAGGTTGATCTGTGAGGACGATAATTGGGTGTGACTGGAAATATGGCCTCAACTTCCTGGCCGAAGTGACAACTGCTAATGCTGCTTTCTCAGCTATAGGGTACCTCAGCTCTGCTCCGTGCAGTACACTGCTGATATAATAGATTGGTTTCTGCTGCTTGGCTTCTTCTCTCACCAGAATCGAGCTAATGGCTTCATCTGAAATTCCCAGATACAAATAAAGAATCTCTCCATCTACGACCTTAGTTAGTAGAGGTGGTGAGCTAAGATAAGACTTTAGCTTGTCAAATGC